GGCTGGGGCGGTGCGCGCCGCCTGGGCTCTGACTGTCCCGCCGCCAGGACGCAGGCGCGCTCCGACGGCCACGCGGGGCACATGGGGGTCGCGCGCTGGGTGCCAGGTGAGCGGAGGTCGGATCCGGGAGCTGCCGGCGGGCGGGCGGGCGGGAGATGGGTGCGGGGGGTCCTGCGCTGATCCCGGAGGGACGCGGGGCGCCCTGAGCCCGGGAACAGAGCCCCTGGCACGTCTGTGCGGCAGGATTGGGGCGCGGACAGAGCAGGGGCCCCTGACTTCTCTGGGAGGCAGCAGGGGTACCCCGCATCGCCGCAGAGAAAAGGGAAGCTGAAGATGGCCAGAGGTGTATCTCAGAGAGGCCTGAAAAAGTTCCGGACTGTCAAACCTTTCTTGTGCCTTTTTCAGGACCAAGCATGGGTGTCTTTGGGCTGGGGATGGGGTGGGGGGGGGTAGTATTCGGGGACAGAGAGCATTCTTCTCTGACAGTCTGACTTCCCAGTAATTTCTTAGCTCTTACTGCATCTTGCTGGTGTTAGCAAAAGTCCAAAGACACTGCCCCACAGTCTCCCCAACAAGTGAAGGAAGTAAACCTACCCCCCCCCCGAAATGCCTTTCTTTCTTCCCTTTTTTTTTTTTTTTTGGATCTTGTTTTGTCACTATGGATTTAATGAACACGCTTAGGACTGTCTCTAAACCTCCAAACGGTATGTAAAATTTCTGTGTGCCCGTACATGGATTTTTTTTTCCCAGGAGAGCTTTCACAGGCTTTATTTAAAGATCAAATAGCTAATGTCATAGCACTGGGCCCCATCAACATGGCAAGTACTAACAGTCTTTAGGGTGACTGAGTGGCAGATTCTTATTTGAAAGCTGGGTTTAAGCAAAGGGTTAGGGAGAGGGATTCCTTCAAATTCTGGAAGGACAGCAATAATGCACCTTTCAGATTTGCCTGGATTAAGGAATTGGTCTGTTTTCTACTAGTCTGAAATCAAATCAGATATGTAGAGGAGGAAACGAACATGGATCTTTGTGAATGGAATGTGTATCTACGGTTCTTCTTGGTGACCAAAAGCAGCCCCAGCTGCAGTTTCCAAGGACTCTGAAGGAACGTGAGAGATGCTGGGCTACACGTTTATACGTCCCTGGTCCACTGGCCACTTGAGATGAGGAAAGAATGAATGTTAACTCAGCCTTGGAATAGCACCAGAAAAACCTAGATTGTGTGTCGGGAGGAAGAGAACTCTGACAGGGTGGGGTCTGGAAAGTTGGATTAGGAGCTTGAAAAAAGAAAAAAACCTAGAAGAATCCGGAGAAGCTTGGTATCCCACTCTTCGAGGTTCAGGAGCAAGTTGGCATTCAAGTTAGTCGTCCTCGCGCCATGTGTTTGTAAAACACTAATGTCCTGCAACCAATCTCAAATAATCAGTCTCTTCCCAATTTCAGAGAAAAAAATAGAGCCAAAATTATGTGTTTTATTTTTTTTTCTTTATAAAAATATCCCACATCACCGGTGCTTGCTTTTATCTGGGTGTTATCTAGTTTAGTTCAAATATCTGTATCCGGTTACATTGAAACTTAATAGATCATTACTGCCAGTTTACAAAGAGTCCATTAGTTCTAGGTGGTCTGTAACCTCCCTACGTTTGAGATCCACTGTTGTGGTAAAAAGTAGGGAACACATCACATTCTTTCTTTACTGTCTTTTGAATGTAACGGTGTCATTTGTGGACATCTGGGTGGAGGCAGTGAATTGCACACAACTCTAAAACCCCCCCTCATTCTACTTCGTTCCCATCCCTGACCAGTTCTGTCCCTTGTTCTAGACTTGACCCATATATTCTAAACTCAAACCATTCTTTTGCTGAGGTTTACGGAAGAGGGGTTAAATTTCTCAGCCAACCCCTCCTCCTTTACAACTGGTCAGTCAGCCTTCATTAAATCCCCCATTGAACTGTTGTTTTTCAAAACAGTAAGGTTGTTGTTTCTACCTACAAACTGTCTTTTCCTGATAAGATTATTATTTAAAATGGCCCCTTACCTGGGCTGGGGGGGTTATTTGGCAATGACAGAAATTATAATTGTGTTTCTTGTTTTAAAGGTGGTGAGAGAAGCAAACATTTTAAAAAACAGTATTTGCCATTCATTAACCCTTCGGTTCAAGATAAAATTTTGCTAATGTTGCTCATTGTTCTTCTTCTTCTTTTTTTTTTTTTTTTTTAGCAAATATATACTGAGCACTTTCTCCAAGTCGGCCCTTGGAGTAGGAGGTGATTCCATCTTTCTGCTTTAGGGAGTTGACAGACAAGCAGTGTGGCCTTGAATCAGGACTTACTAAGAAGTGACTTCTGGAAGTGCGATCTCAGTCAGGGACTCTGGGACCATGACCCCTTGCTTTCAGGCTTAAATACCTCCCCATGACCCCGTTTAAAGAATCTGGCCAAGGAAAAACTCTCTGCTGCAGTTCCCTGGGTCAGTTCTCTAACCTGCTGGTCTGAAGTCCTGAGTCCTGTCACTTCCAGGACTGTGTAGGTAATAGTTCTAGGAAGAGTGAGAGTAAATTAACTTGACAGGGAAACATTTGCTTTCCGTTTATAATACACAACCCAGTGAGCACTGGCCTCTCTTTCCGGAGGATGCTAGTGGCTGCTCAGTGGCAGGTTTCATATCCCTAGGCTAGTCTTTCCCCAATTCATAAGGAATAGAAGTCATAAATGTTTAAAGGCGCCTTGATCTACACCCTGAGTGCGAGCTGGAGAATATATTCAAGGCCAATGAACAGGGCAAGATTCTACCGGTTCAGATTAGTGAAATTGGGCCAGTGTGAAATATACCTCTTTACTACACTGATGGAAAGTGTGAACGTGTAGATTTTGGTACCAGGTAATAATAATAATGATGGTAGACAATGATACAGCAGTTCGTACGTGTTAGGCATCCTTCAGTGCACTCTATGTATATTAATACATTAACTCGTTTAACTCTCCCAACCCAAAGAGCTGAGTGAGTACCACTGCCATTGACAGTCTAGCCCTGCATCACACAATTTAGCATGTTTGATTTACTTAGCCCTTCTGCGATGAAGTCTAATTCAGCCTTGTTATTTTAGGGCACTTACTTTGATTCTTGCCTCTGCACTGTGAGAGGCAGCCCAGCTGCCCTGGTCTGTATTTGGGTTCCGTCCTAACTAGTAGGGTGACCTTGAGCAAATCACTGCTTCTTAGTGCCTCCATTTCCTCTGTAAAAGGGACTTGATCACAGAACTACCTCACCAGGTTGCGGTGAGGATGGAATGAATGTATACATGCAAGACACTTAGAGTAATAGAGCTTTGTCCACAGGAGGTGCTATGATTTTCATTATCAGCTGCTTTTTCTTTCCAGCCGCATCTCCCACTGCTCCCTAATGTAGCAGCCATGCTGAGCCACTCAGAGCTCCCCTGAGCCTTCCGAAGTCTTCATATGTCAGTGGCTTTGCACATGCTGTTCCCTTTGCCTGGAATGCCTTACCCTTCCTATTGCTACCTTCAGCTTAAATGTTCCTTCCTAACGACCTTCCTTTACTGTCCTCCCCCGTTCTCCAGGTAGCTATTCCCATCCTTGTTCGCGATCTTGGTAGCTTTGTGCCATTTCTCTATCAAAGGACTTCGTGATTAACAACTACCCAACATTTATTGAGCACTTATCATGCACCCAGTAGTGTTCCAAGTGTTTTTCTTGCTTTTCAAAAAAATATATTGAGAACTCCATGTGGTAGTGTTATATTTCGTTAAAATTATGTCGGTGTCCATCTCCCCCAGTAGACTGCGATAGCGGCTTGTACATCTGTGTGTGTTATTCATTTTGTATCTCTAAGAGCTGGCGGAGTGCCTAATTAATACACAGTGGGCACTCCATAAATGTGTAAGTGGATGCATTTTACCAACATCTATTTACATCTGAATAAAAAGCTAATTGTAAGTAATTCTTCTTTTAAATAATCTTCATGCTTTTCTCATTGCAGAAATTCACTGACAAAATTTTAGAAAACACTGATAAGGAAGAAGAAGGATGTGAAAATCCCACTGCTCCCAGCCCAGGAGGGCTTCAACAATGTGCTTAGGGACGCAGAAGTTCTCAGCGGCTAAACGGGGAATCAAGGTCAGGCCGGCTGGCGACAGAACCCAGAGCTCCCAACCCTGCATGAATCTGCTGCTTTTCCTCCCCCGGCAAACACACACGCCCTCCTGTGAACAAATTATGTTAGCTAGTAAAATAGGTTGGCAGAGCTGACCTTTGAAAATGAAATCCACCATACACCATGATGGTGAAAGGCATGAAATCTACATTTAGAAAATGGCCAGTTTCTGTCTTTTCATGCCTTCCCATTTCACATCCCATCACGTATTTGGGGGAATCTGGATGGAGAGGCAGCACAGGGAGGTAAGGCAGAATAGAAGATGGCTTCTAAATCAGACTAACACAGGTTCGAACCCCGGCTTTGCCCCTAGATGCCTTACCAGGGACAGGTGGCAAACATCTCTCAGTCTCCGTTTTTTCTGTAAGATAGAGATAATAAGAAACACTTCTCAGCATCTTGTGAAGTTTAAAGGTAACAGGATGGTGAAGTGCTTCACGCTTGATTAATGGTGGGTCTTGTGGCGAAGTCTCTGGTGGTGACACCCTATGGCTTCCCCGAACAGCAGCCTTGCCAAACTGTTTTCCACGGCGAAGCCCCTTTGTTTTTTCCAATCCTTCATTTTAATTCTGGGAGTAATTTAACTTCTATATTATTATTAGATGTCTTGCCTCACAATAGTTTTCTTAGAAATTCAATCTTTTCTCCACAGGGTCTCTTTGAGATTAAAGAGAAAGAAGTGGCAAATTCAGGATCTTGGAGCAATTTTCATTTAAAAGAAGATCATTGTTTTCATTACCCCATCATTAATGTTTTCTATTTTCTTTTATCAGCGAGTTAAATTGAAGCCGATTTGAATTGCCAAACCTAGCTCTCGTTTCCCTGCAAGATGAAAGGGGACAGCCATGAATGAGCCACCAGACAATTTCGCAAATGCTTCTGACTTCCCCAATGATGCAGTGCCATTCGGAAATTGCACCGATGAAAAAATCCCGCTCAAGAGGCACTACCTCCCTGTTATTTATAGCATCATCTTCCTGGTGGGCTTTCCAGGGAATGCAGTGGCAATTTCCACTTACATCTTCAGAATGCGGCCCTGGAAAGGCAGCACCGTCATCCTGCTGAACCTGGCCTGTACAGACCTGCTCTATTTGAGCAGCTTCCCTTTCCTGATTCACTACTACGCCAGCGGTGAGAACTGGGTCTTCCGCTTCCGCTTCCATTTCAACCTGTACAGCAGCATCCTCTTCCTTACCTGCTTTGGTGTCTTCCGGTATCTTGTAATCCTTCACCCGCTGAGCTGCTTTTCCGTTCACAGAACGTGATGGGCCGTGGTGGTCTGCGCCGTGGTGTGGATCATTTCCCTGGTGGCCGTCATTCCCATGACCTTCCTGATCACCTCAACCACCGGGACCAACGGCTCCACCTGCCTTGACCTCACCAGCTCAGACGACCTCCCCACCATCAAGTGGTACAATCTAATTTTGACGGTCACGACTTTCTGCCTTCCCCTGGTCATAGTGACACTTTGCTATACGATGATTATCTACCCCCTCACGCAAGGACCTCACAATCACAGCTGCCTGAAGCAGAAAGCTAGGAGGCTAGCCATTCTGCTACTCCTTGTGTTTTATGTATGTTTCTTACCCTTCCACATCTTGAGGATCATCCGGATTGAATCTCGCCTGCTTTCGATCAGCTGCTCTGCCGAGAACCAGATCCATGAAGCTTACATTGTTTCTAGACCCTTGGCTGCCCTGAACACCTTTGGTAACCTGCTACTGTACGTGGTGGTCAGTGACAACTTTCAGCAGGCCATCTGCTTGATGGTGAGATGTGACGCCAGCGGGGATCTGGAGCAAGCGAAAACCAGTTACTCAAACAACCCTTGACGTACTTCATGTAGTCAATCAAGAAGAAGAGCCTGCTGAGACTTGAACTTCTAAGAAGTCCAGAATAGCTCCTTCAATGGCTCTCTGTAAATATTATATATTCAGGTAATTCTGTGTTAAAGCCAGCACAGATCTACCAGGAACTCTCTGCTGCCCATTTATTGAGTCTTCCCTAGGGTCAATGTAAGAATGGGATACACACCTATCAGTAGAGGATTCACATGGGGAATCAAAAGTACTGGAACTCTGAGACATCTTGAGAAACATCTAGTCTCGCCAACTTACTATGCATAAATAAGACCACTCGTCTCAGTAGTTTTATTAAATTAAAACTTCACACATTTGTCCCAGTTGAGGCAAAAACAAGGACACTCTTCTTACTCTTGGTTTCCTGCTCCTTCATACTCGAGCTGTCTCTGTTGAACCTTTAGACTATCCAAGACATTATTTATCTCTTTCTCAGTGTTATCTTTGTTTTCATTTCATATCTTTAAGACTTTTTTTTTCCTTCAAACTTGCTTTGAGATCATTAAATGGTGTTTCTCACTAGGCTTTCATCAGTTTTGTAGATTCAAGCCAACTGGTACAGTACACTTGAGACAATTCAAAGATGTCAGTGCAGATGGCTGATGTACCTTTGAGCTATTGGGAGCATTATGTCTTCATTATTATAGATAATTTTAGAAGTTGTTACTGAATTGAGAAAAATTATTAAGTGGTATTAGTAATTATCAACACATCCTGGGAAAGGAAGGATGGGTCTCTTTTGGGGGGGAACAGAAGTACTTTTAAATATCATGTGTATATTAGGTATTAAGTAAAACTTAACAGTGTTTTGATTTCTGTGGAAAACTATCTCAGGAAATACCAATTCTCTTTAGATACCTTTCTCTTTTCTGACTCTCTTGAAAATATGTTATCTATTTATGTAACAGCTAAAGCTATTTTTGAGTTATGTGTGTGCCTAATTATCACAGAGTGTAAATATTTGAGAAAATGCGTAGTCTGGATATTTAAAACCTTAGTCAATGTGTTGATACAATTAATAAACTAATTTAAAATCACTGAATAAACTGGTAACATTTTTCCCTGAAAACGCAGCTTTACCACCCCTCTATTTACAGGAAGCTTATGTTCTCTGTGTTTAGGGAATAAAAATAATTTTAAGAGTCAGTTTTAGAATAAGTTTGGAATAGTTGGTTGAAACAGAAGAACGAGTGTCATGGGAATGCTTTGTGACTTTCAGGTGCTTCTAGAACATTAGACCTAAGGGAGGATGTCTACCAGGAACCTGTGTCAAGCATGCAGGGGGAGGAAAGAGGGAAGCCAGTGGCTCCACACATGGACATTTCTGGATGATGGCGCCATCTCTGCCATCCACCTTCTGAGCCATCCTCTCTGGGTCTTTCTATAGCACAGGGCATGAGCTGTTTGACTGGAGGGCTTGACTAGCTCACGTAGACTGACTGCACAGTCAGCAGGGGCAGCCTCCTGAGGTCTACTGGAAAGCTGGAGCTCTTCTCTCCTGTCTCTCAAATGCTGAGCCCAGCTCCAGGGCTCTCACTGAAGTGTGGCCAAGTCAGCCTTTATACCACAGTTGCTGTTGTTCCAACCCTAGATGCAAAACCCTTCCCTTTCCCTCTGTCTCTCTCTTCTTATTTCAAAGATTTTGCCGACCAGAAGAAAGCCACCTCAATCTCCCTTATGTCGATCTCAATTGTCTCTATAGAATCTCTTTTTCCTTTTCCTTCTTCCCACCCATGTTCAGAACAATAAATCGGTTCTCTTTCTGATACGAATTCTTCTGCTCCATCTTTCATCCTTCTACTTTCATAGGGACCATGCTCTGACACTTAATCCCACTTTCTCAAATTTTTAACTTTTCTATTGCTCTGAATAACCGATCTTAGTTTGGGAACATGCATAATTTTCCTTTATCCTCAAAAATACCTTCCCTCATTCAGCTGTGCTGTCATTCTCTTGTACCTGACCTGCTCTCTGCAGATCAGGGTCAGGCGCAGATGTCTGTCTGCCTTCCGGGGTTCTGCCCATAGACTATCATCACAAAGACCCCAGCTAAATTGGATTTGAAGGGTCAGATTTATTTTCCAAAGTAAAGAGTTCTGGGCTAATTGTGTTTGGAACGGAAGCCAAAAAAGAGATTGATGATACTTCTGAGACTAGAATGGGACCCAAATGACCTTGCCTGGTAGTAGTAGGCCAAGATACTATGAGGACAGAAGCGCAGAGTCCTGACTCTCTGCCAGAGAAGGAGCTGCTGGGGCTGTTCACCACTGTAAAGACTCCAAGTTCAAGTTAGGTCCATTGCACCTGAGGCCAGGGAATTCAGGAAAACATGTTCCACATTTTGGGTGCACAGTAACCCCTTTACTTTGTTTTTCTCAGTATATCATGGAAATTTAAACGGTCACAGAATTTTTTTTTAAAGTACCAAAATGACCCCACGTATCCATGACTGAATTTCACCAGTAATTAACATCCTTTCCTTGTCTCATCTATCCCTTTCCATGCTTTTTTTGCTAGAATATTTAAAAGCAAGTCCTATAGAACATAGTAGTTTTACCTATAAATTCTTCAACATTGATCTCTTTTAAAAATCAGAAAGTCAGTGTGCCTGGGTGGCTCAGTGGGTTAAAGCCTCTGCCTTCGGCTCAGGTCATGATCCCAGGGTCCTGGGATTGAGTCCCGCATCAGGCTCTCTGCTCAGCAGGGAGCCTGCTTCCTCCTCTCTCTGCCTGCCTCTCTGCCTACTTGTGATCTCTGTCTGTCAAATAAATAAATAAAATCTTTAAAAAAAACACACAGAAAGCCAACACAAAACTAAAAAAATGATTCCTTAATAGTATCCAACTTCTAATCCTTATTTTCTTTCCCTTAGTTACCTCAAATATGTCTTTTTACAGTTTTTTTTTTTCTTTTTCAAATTAAAACCGAAACAAGGCCCATGTACTACACGTGGTTGAGAGGTCTATTAAATTTCTGTTAACCTATTAGTGTTCCCCTTTCCTTTATTTATGGTCATCTAGTAATGGAAGAAATCACATCATTCATCCTGTGGAATTTTCCTGATTGTGGGCTTGCCTGTCTTAATTCCACTTTGCTGTTTGTCATGTCTCTCCATGCCTTGTATTTGGTGGAAATTAGAAGGTGGAGTTGGAGGTTAGATTAGATGCAGAGTCTTTTCTCCCACTTTCTTTCCCTCCTTCCTCTCCTTCCTCCTTTGCTTTCTTTCCACCAAAACAGTACTCAGCCTCAGGAGCTGCAGTGTCTGACTCCCTCCATAGAGCCAGGGTTTCAGAACTATTAGCCTGAAACTTGTCTCATAAAGATCTCCAACCTTGGGGTACTTGGGTGGCTCAGTTGGTTAAGCAACTGCCTTCTGCTCAGGTCATGATTCTGGATTCCCAGGATCGAGTCCCACATCAGGCTCCCTGCTCAGCGGGGAGTCTGCTTCTCCCTCTGACCTCTCCCCTCTCATGGTCTCTCTCTCTCTCAAATAAATAAATAAAATCTTTAAAAAAAAAAAAAAATCTCCAACCTCCTTTGTCCTTCATAGGTTATCAGTCATTGCTCATTCTTGTCCGGACCCACGAGGGCTTTCACAATGGTGACTTTTAAAATTCTAACACTCTTCTACTTTTGTCCATTACGGCTTTTCTATAAAGAACTTTGACACATCAACTGTCCTTCACCTGACTGCTCTGAGTGCAGACAGACCCACCAATCAGACTTAGCTCCGCCTCCTCCTTTGGGAAGGCACAAGTATGTGACGAAAAGAGATAGGTGAGGTGCCCCCACAGTGCTCCCTTCATGGGAGTGTAAGTGTTGGCAGCGTTTCCTTTCTGCAGCAGCCAAATTTTTATTCTTCAACTCCGCAGGGTTGGCAGCCATGCCTGTGATCCACAGAGTCAGACTGTACCCTTGAAGAAAGAGCTTGCCTTACCGCTGCCGTGCTTCTCGAAACCTACATTAGTGCCTTTGCTTGTCCTCTTGGACCAGGGCAGGGCGGTTTAACTTTCCGGAGAAAGCTCTGAGAAGAGGCAGAAAAAGACGTTAGTAGCTATGGGGCCATATAGCCCTTGAAGCTGTTGTAATTTTCTGTTCTTCCTTTCTGTCTCTTCCTGTTCTAATTTTATTCTTAAGTTCTACCCAGCAACACGGTTTGATATGATCTACCTGATACTATACAGTGAGTCCAGATCATATTAAAGGATACAAGACCAGCAACACAAAAATCCCTGAAGTGGGAGAGCCCTTTCCGTGGTTGAGTTCCTAGGAAGAAAATAAATTACTATGCACATTGACCTGTTTTCTTTCAATTCTATTTTCCCTCTCCATGCTTCTGTCTGAATATTTTCTATTTATCTTTCTATTTATCTTTCTATTTATCTTATCCTGGCTTGTACTGTACACAATCTGAAACCCATTCACTGAATTCCTAATTTCAAATACCGTATTTTTTAAATTTATGCAATGAACTTTTGGTTATCTTTATTCTACCACTTCTGTGACTTTTTTTTTTCATTTGATCTATTTTATCCCTTTCCTTATATTTCCTAGAACTGAATAATCATTTATTTTAAAGTCTTTTTCCGTTTACTACAATATCATATAACCATTGGGTCTGCTTTCATTGCCTGCCATTTTACTTATATTCATTGGTCATGTAATCTTGTCTCCTTGCATGTCCATTAATCTTTGCTTGAATGACAGAAATTGTGTTTGAAGGGACTCAAAGGGGCTCCCCTGAGAGGTTTTTCTATTTCAGTGATTTTGCTTTTCAATTGTAAAATTTCTATTGAATTCCACTTCTCTTCTGAAGTTTCCCCTCCTTCACTACATACATATTTTTCCTTTAACTCTTTAAAAATATATAAATAGCTCCTATAACATCTTTGTCTGTTAAATCTAGCCTCTGGTTCATATTAGTTTCCTCTGGATGCTGTAACAGATTATGACAAATTTAGTGGCTTAAGACAACACAGAATCACTTTCTTTCAGAGGTCAGAGGTCAAAAGTCCTGCCTTGCTTCTGGAGGTTCTGGACTGGAAGCCATTTCCTTACGTTTCCCAGATTCAAGAGGCCTGCCACCTGCATTCCTTGGTTCACGGCCCCGCCTTC